CCAGAACATTGCTCTCTTTTGGATTTCAGATGCTGGAGAGATGTTCTAGACCGCTTGAGCGGCAGCACCCTCATCCCTAGTTGAAATACAGGATAAAAAGCATCCCGCATTGATTGAGTACAGAACAGGCAATCTTTTATTTATGTAAGGGACACTCTTTATAATATGGGACTGCTGGCAACCCTAGGCCCTTACTGACATTGACACCTTCAGTGCCCCGAGGGACACTGACACACCCACAGATATTGAGACTCCTGACATCCCCACAGACACTGTCACTGCAAAACCAACACCCCGATGCATGCCTTCAGGGACTCGGAGCCCCCTGCAGACATTGATGCCCCCAGAGACACTGACACTCCCAATATGGTGCCCCCACAGACATCAATGCTCCTGTCACTTGGAGCCCACGGAGACACCAATGACCCTCAAAGACACCCCCCCACACACACACATCCATAACTCTCAGTTTGCCAAGGCCCAAATGTGAGAGATGTATGACAAATGAACCTATTGATGCCAGCTGGCAGAGGGCACAAGGGATTCATAAAGTTTTACAGGAATCACCTGGGTCAGATATAATAGTTCACTAAAGGATGTCAGGTAAGGTCTCTATCAAGAGCCAGTAGCCCACTGATTAAAATAATCATTTGAGGCCAGGTCTATACTAAATGTTAGGTCGTTCCAGCTATGTCGCTCAGGGGTGTGAAAAATCCACTTTACTACTTGTAGCCAGTTTCTTTAGTGTATTGAGTGTTTGTTTTATTTGCTCAGTAATCTACTTTGATCTGTTTGCTATGCCTTATAATCACTTTTTATAAGTTTTTTTAACCTTTTAACTTTTTATAACCACATGGAGGAAGGGAGCAAATTTCATGAGCTTACGCTGTACAGTTTTCTGTGCAGCTCAAGACAATACAATTTTGGGTTTACACTCTAGAAGGGGTATGCACTTAAGTGCTGGGCAATTCCCACAGTGAGTCTTCCCACGCTGATCTCTGTGTTTGTGGACCTACCTGCATGTGTGCTGGAGGAGGCTTGAGGGCCTGGCTCAGCGGGGCAATGCAAGGGAACCCACACTGGTGGAACTGGTGGGATCAGTGGTTCCCCAGGACATCAGGTGGCACCCCGGAGAGGGGCGGGGCAACTCATCACAACAACCAGGCCCTAAAAAGTCCTACGACCTAAGAACATACCAACAGAAAGGGGGAGGTGGGTCAAGCAGATGCCTGGGTCTTGCTCTGAGTCCTGTAGCAGTGTAGAGGCAGGTAAGAAAGTGACCTCACATAATTGTGTGAGCTCATATCAGGTTTGCAAGACAGTGCTGATGAGGCAGGGACCTCATAGAGGCCTGTGCACTGACATCAGCCCAGTAGGACCAGGGTACTGGTGGATGTGCCAAGAACCTTGCAGCATCCTGGGCCTTAACATAAGGCCAGAAGCAGATTAGGTTTTGGTGAGGTAGGAAACGTACAAGGGCCATTTCCCTGTCATTTATCCTAGATAAAGATAAAAGTATATGAGATAAGGATCTCATAGAGACTTATTCCATGTAATCAGACAATGTTTGGTTTTGTATTCCCCATGCTAAGGTTTGCATATGATGGGATTTTAGACAGCTGTATGGTAGATCAGGTGACTTGTACTTTACTGTAAACTGAAGGCTAGCCCTCTGCAGGCCAAGACTGATGTAACCTTGTCAGACATTTATTTCTTGGAATTGTACTATTGTCTTCACAAATTCCACTTTTTGGCTCTCAAACAGGCAGTGGAAAAATTCAGGTAAATGATAGCATCCTTCATAGTCTTCTCTTCAGATCTCTGCAATAAGGTTTAAGTTGCTGATGTCTTACTCCACTGAAGTGTCTTCTTAAAAAGACCTTGTCTTTTCATTTCTCAGGCCAATTAAGCAATATACAATTAATGTTAAATGTCCATTGCCCTTTTTTATACTCTGCGGAGAGTCTGTTTATATCCATCCCAGTAGTTTCTGAGATTTCCTTTCATTCTTTCTCTGCTTTTAGCAACAACAAACAAAAAAATTCCTGAAAGCAGAATCACTTCAGCTCACTTGGCAGAGACTTCTGCCAGTTCTAGGAATGGGGCATGCACAAATACCTTGATTGTTTTGTCTAAAGTTCCCATTATCTCATCTTTGGTTTCCAGTTGTGCTTTAATCATGGTGCAGACAGTCCAACTCATAGAGGTCATGAAGCAGATAGTAGACACTTGATCCATTATTTTCTACAAACCTCAAGACAAGCTTGGAGTCACTCTGATTTGCAAAGAATGTATTTTCTCCTTTAGCAACTTATTTATGCTACTGTACTTTCTCTTGAGCCGTAAAAACTACAGTAAAGAGAATATCTTCTTGTATATTGACAACAAAATTCAGGTAATCAGAACTATCAGTTGTGGAGTATGGTTTCCCTCCCACCCGCCCTCCAGAGCTGGTGAAGGACTTGTCTACATAGGAAAATTATTCTGGATTAAGCAGGGAGGGAGAGATTTAAAGTGCACTAGCTATTTCGGTATTGCTCCCCAGGTGGACGCTTATTCCAGAATAGCTATCATGGAATAGCTATTCTGGTCATTTCCCCCATGTAGCTTTCCCCAAAGCATAGAGGACACCTTTTACAATTAGATCAGAATAATCTTTCCCATTGTTTCCTGTTTCATAGATATTAAGGTCAGAAGGGACCATTATGATCATCTAGTCTGACCTCCTGCACAACGCAGGCCACAGAGTCTCACCCACCCACTCCTGCAAAAACCTCTCACCTATGTCTGAGCTATTGAAGTTCTCAAATTGTGGTTTAAAGACTTCAAGGAGCAGAGAATCCTCCAGCAAGTGACCCATGCCACATGCTACAGAGGAAGGTGAAAAACCACCAGGGCCTCTTCCAATCTGCCCTGGAGGAAAATTCAATCTGTCCTGGAGGACTGTTGTTATAGTAACAGCCACTAATGTCATACACATTGTGAGTCACTGATGTATGATCATTCAGGATGAAACTGTCCATAGAAAGAGTTATAGAGATATCATGCAGTGACCACAACCAGACAGTCTCTTCATGGACAGTTAAACTTCTCTGCAGTTCCTCTGTCATGCAGAGCAGCTGCCCCTAGTGGTCCTACAAGCACCCCCTGCAGTTTCCCTCCAAATTCTCCAGAATAATCCAGTTAAAACTGAAGTCTTTGAAACTATATTCCCCTTCTCCTGGGAACTAATTTATTCAATATCATTCAGCTCCCACAAAAGCGTCTTTCTGCTTCCCCCTCAGGTTTAGGGTCTCAGAGTCCTCCTACTTGGGACTGTGACTTTAAGAAGGGAGTTACGAGCCAGGATTTAAATTTAGGGATTACAGATCACTCCTTTGTGGAGTGGGCTGTTGGCAAACTTCTTTCCTTCAGCAGCTGATTACTCTTCCTCAGGCTCCTCCTCTATATCCCTAGATTTGACTGGAGTTAATGATATGACCTTCCTGTCACATGACTAAAAGCATTTCCCTCACTCCTTAGAAGGCAAGTTAAGTTTATCACAGGTGGATTGGGGGCCCACGTTCCCTTAAGAGGCCAGTCACTGTAGGATAAGGACATTGTGAGGCAGCAGTGCCTTAGCTGAAGTTTCTGCCTGTGCAGTATGTAACTACCTTGACTTTGCATTACTAATTCCTCCTCCTCCAAAACCTGATCTGTAATACCCCAAAATCTGCTACTATTTGGCAAAAGGGAACCACTCATTATTTTGTTCTACAATAGCACCAGAAGTCCCAACTAAGGTTGTGTCTTTGCTACAAGTACTACAGCTGGGGGAATGCAGCTGTAGGAGGTGAGTGTAGACACTACGTTGACAGAAAGGGTTTTTCCATTGGTGTAGTAAATCCACCTCCTCGAGAGGCAGTAGCTAGGCTGATGGAAGGAAGAATCCTTGTATTGACCTAGCTGCGTCTACAGGGGTGAGGTTGACCTAACTATATCGCACAGTGTGTGAAATTTTTCAGAACTCTAAGTGATGTAGCTAGATTGACCTAAATCTTAGGTGTAGACCAGAATTAGGACAGTCCCTTCCTCAAGGAGCTTGCAATCTAAATAAAAAAAAGACAGTGTAAATATTCAGTTCTCTGCAGCAAAAATAAATATAGGCATACAATAATATAGTCGTTGCTAAAGTTTCTCACAGGGCCAGTTTAACTTGTTTTATGCTGTCGCTGGTTTTTCAGTCCCTGAAGGTCCCAACAGCAAAAACGTTCCTGGAGCCTGCCCTTTTCCATGAGGTTCTAAAAAGCTTTGATGTGAGGCAATGAATACCCAGGACTATCCCTTTGAACTGTGAGCGTCAAATGTCTCCTTCCAGTGGCTAATCCATGCTCTCTCTCTCCTTCCAAAATTGATGTCTCAGCAATAAAGAGGGACATGTATTGTGCATCTAGATGGGTCCTTTCACCAAAGCAAACAATTCTTTCTTAAAATATTAAAGGCTTGTCTACCAATATAATTATGCTGCTTTAGTTACACTGATATAACTCCCTGTGTGGACATTTTAATTCCCAAATAAGAGTATCCACACAGGAATTATACTCGTATAACTAGAGCAGTATAGTTATTCCAGCAAATTTCCCCATGTAGCCCAAACGACTCTACGTAAATTCTTTTTGTAATATATTTTCATACCACAAAGCATTGGAAATGTGACCATTAAATGTTATCCAGATAATCGTCTTAGATTTCAGATGTGATTCTACTAGTTAGAACAAAGGCCTGGAAGTCAGGACTGCTGCATTCTCTGCCAGTGACTTGATACATGTGTAACCTTTATTTAGGTGGGCTAGAGTTCACTTTATTTCCCTTCTCTAGTACTTAAAAAAACCCGACTCCCACAGAAAAGTGGCTGGAGACCCAGAGTTCAGGATTTTCAGCAAGGATTGCACAGTGTCAACCTCCCGACATTCAAGTCTAAAGAAATTCATTTAATTAAATAACTTCATAAAATCTTATGATAAAGAAATAAATATGTCATGTTGTAAAAAATAGAGTGGCTCTTTTATAATCCACAGACATTATCTTCAGTTATACATAAACAAATAAAGAAAACAAGTTAAAATCTGAACAGTTCAGTCCCCACAGAAACACAGCGAGAAGAAACTCAGAGTTCCCAAAAGCTTAGGTTGTGTTTGCCTGAGTCTCAGTTAGTCTTTGATCACCAAATCTAAACTGTCCGCCGAGTCCAAAACAGCATCTTCCCTCCACATGCTTGTAGGAATCTTCAGTTGGAATCCATGCTGACTCTTCCTCTTCTGAAATCACAGCTAGCCAGTCAGCTAACTGATTAACCAACCACTCAGTTAAGTATACAGATTAAAAAAAACCTCTGTTTCAAGAAAATACAAAATGGAGAATAGCAAAATATAAATGACTCTTTCCCCATGATCACATTTAAACAAAAATTGGTGAATCATAGTAATTGAGACAATAACTAAAACAGTTTGGCTAAAATCAAACAATATTCAAAGCATACAGTTAAAACAGAATATATTATTTCCCCCTTGCTATAATTAGCATTGCCCAGGCTTCCCTGTTATAGAGGTAACAATATCACTAACCTGCTGCAAAATGCTTCAGAGCTAAGGACAACAGCCTACTTCCTGCTCCTAGGCTCAGCTTCTCCCAACTCACCCAGGCCATGTGGCCCTTTGTAAAGGAGCTGCCTTGACTGCTTGCCTTCATGGAGTCTGACCACAGCAGCAGGGAACCTATGGAGCAGATCCAAAATTACCACACGCAATGACAGAAGCTTCTGAATGTGGAGTGCTAAATCTGCCTAGCAACAATGACCCAGACACACACACACCTCCCTCCCTCCAGTGGGTCTCTTAAAGAGATATCTCCCTTGTAGATATATGGGTTACACATGACTTTGGGTCAAGCCACTTATCTTTTCTGTCGCTCCATCTATTAAACTGGGGATAATATCTCTCTCCAGAGGGATTAGATACTGAATATTCATACAGCACTTGTCAGGAATTAGGATTCGCAGCTGACCCTGGGACCAGCTAGCTCCATGTCCCTAATGAGAAACAGACTCACAGCTGAATCACCTGATTGGTCAGACTGCATGATTGGTGGGAATATTTAGCAAACTGCTTCTTAAGCCTAGCAGCAGCTCAAAGCATTTACACATAGCTGTGTTAGCTGCTTGTAAGGGCTTGAGATCCATGGATGAACTACACATTGTATGTGTTGTTTTAGCCTGGTCTTTGTGGGCCAGGCTGGATGTCCCTTCCTCAGGTGCACGGGGGAGTAGGGGAGGGTTCAAGAAGACTCCCACCTTGTGTATTCCATGCGAGGTGCAACCACTCAGAATTGTAGAATCATAGAAAGGTAGGGCTGGAAGGGACCTTGAGAGGTCATGTAATCCTGCCCCCTGCACTATAGCAGGACAAAGTCAACTAGACCATCCCTGACAGGTTTTTGTCTAAGCTTTTCTTAAAAATCTCCAAGGGCGGGGATTCCACAACCTCCCTTGGTTCCAATTCCAGTGCTTAACCACCCTGACAGGAAGTTTTTCCTGAGGTCCAATGTAAATCTCCCTTGCTGCAATTTAAGCCCGTTACTTCTGGCCCGGTGATCAGTGGACAAATCTCCCTTGCTGCAGATTAAGCCTAGTAATTGTTGTCCTACCTGTCACAGCTCAGGACAACTGCACCTGTCTTCCCCCTCTGTTGTCCAGCAAGGGCACCCATTCTAAGCTCCTCAGCCTTCACCTCTCTTGGGAAGAGACCCATGTCTCTCTTCAGCCTGACTGGGGTATTTCCAGGCTGAACAGTTCCCTGACTACACTGTGATATACCCAGCAAAAGACAGGCTGCCTAAGCAGGCTTGTTTGGCCTTCTCTTCCGTGATGGTTAACAGTGTAATTAGCACAGATATTCGTTACCATGCAGCAATTTTATTCTTAAGGTAAAACCAATGCAGAGAAAAGATCTTAAAAACAATAAAAGAATCTACACAGAAGGGTAATAAGCTTACCAGAGATCACCCCAGCTCCAGCATAGGTTCGGGCAGGTGAGCAGTCCTTCAAACCCCACACAGGTTCAAGTTCATAATACCCTTTGCTCAGATCAAGAACCCCTATGAATCTGTGAGTGAGTCCTTTATTCAGTTTAGGTTCTTTGAAGAGATCATTCATAGGTAATCAGCCAGACAATAGGTCCCTTTCCAAAGGCAAAGCTTCAAACAGCTGAAGAGTTATGTTAGCATACTCCCTCCTCCTAGAGATATCCTGGGAAACCCACTTAATTTTAAAAGTTCAAATTGTTTCAAAAAGTCCTTTGAAGTTCCTAGCATTTCCCAAGGTTTAAATTAGTCACATCTCCTAGAGCTGTTGCAGACAGTCCACAGTAACACATAAACAATTGCATTTTTGACCCCAAAGTTATTAAACTTATTGAATTAAGTTAAAACTTATTGAACTAAGGTTTATCCAGGTGATTGGCCTATTTGTCTCACTATCTTCAATGGACATGGACAACAATTGATCAGTGTCTTCTTTGTAACAGCCCTTAACATATTAGAAGATGGTTTTCAGGTCCCCCTTCAGTCTTCTTCTTTTCTCATGCTAAACGGGGCCGTTTTCTTAAACCTTTCCTCATAGGTCAGGTTTTCTAAACTTTTTGTCATTTTTGTTGCTCTCCTCTGGAACTGCTCCAGTTTCTTTCTTCCTTAAAGTGTGGCAACCAAAAGTATACACAGTACTCCAGCTGAGGCCTCATCAGTGTTGGGTACAGCAGTAGAATTACCTCCCATGTCTTATATACAACACTCCTGTTAATACACCCCAAAATGATATTATGCTTTTTTGTAACTGCATCACATTGTTGACTCATTCAGTTTTTGATCAACTGTAACCCCCAAGTACTTTTCAACAGTACTGCTGCCTAGCCAGTTATTCCACATTTTGTAGTTGCACATATGATTTTTCATTCCTAAGTGTAGTACTTCGCACTCATCTTTATTGAATTTCATCTTGTTGAATTCAGATCAATTCTCCAATTGATCAATGTTGTTTTGAATTCTAATCCTACCCTCCAAAGTGCTTGCAGCCCCTCCCAGTCTGGTGTCATCTGCAAATTTTATTAGCCTACTCTCCATTTCATTATCCAAGTCATTAATGAAAATATTGAATAGTACCAGACCCAAGACAAACCCCTGCAGGATCCCATTAGAAACATTCTACCAATTTGACACCAAACCATTGATAACTAGTATCTGAGTATGGTCATTCAATCAGTTGTGCACCAATCTTATCGCAATTTCATCTGGGCCACATTTCCCGAGTTTGCTTATGAGAATGTCATGTGGTACAGTGTCAAAATTCTTACTAAAATCAAGATATATCACATCTACTGCTTCCCACAATTCACTGGGCCAGTAACCCTGTCAAAGAAAGACATGGTTTGGCATAATTTGTTCTGGACAACTCCACATTGGCTATTCCTTACAACGCCATAATCCTCTAGGTGCTTACAAATTGATTGTTTAATAATTTGTTCCAATATCTTCCAGCTACCTTTTTAAAGGTAGGTACCATTTCTTTAACACTGCACCTGCCATCCATGAGTTCTCAGAGGTAATTGCTAATGCTTCTGAAATTGCTTCAACTAGTTCATTAAGTAACCTAGTGAATTTTTTTAGGCCCTGCCAATGTGTAAACATTTAATTTATCTAAATAGTCTTTCACCTGTTTTTTTTTTCCTATTTGGGCTTGTATTCCTTCCTCCTAATTGTTTATATTAATTGTGTTAAGCATCTGGTCACAATTAACCTTTCAGGGAAGACTGAACCAAATAGAGATTAAACACCTCAGACTCTTGATGCCATTTGTTTTTAGCTCTCCTTCCATGTTATATAGTGGACCTACATTTTACTTTGTTTTTCTCCTTCTGCCAACGTATTTATAGAATCTCTTCTTATTGCCTTTTATATCCTATGCTAGGTGTAACTCATTTTGTGCCTTAGCCTTTCTGATTTTGTTGCGACATGCTTGCACTAATCTTTTGTACTCATCCTTAGCAATTTGTTAATGTTTCCAATTTTTGAAGGGTTCCTTTTTGATTTTCAGATCATTCAAGAACTACTGATGGAACCATATTCATCTCTCACTATTCTTCCAAACTTTCTTTCAGATTGAGATAGTTTGCTGTTGTGTCTTTAATATTGGCTCTTTGAGATGCTGTCTCTTTCAGAAAATTCCAGCTCTCCTGAACTTTTAGAGTTCAGCTCTCCTGAATTCCTGAACTCTTTTTCCTTTAGAGTTGCTTCCCATGGGACTTTACCTACCTGCATTCTCTGAATTTGAATTATTATCTGAATTTGTTAAAGTCTGCTTTTTTGAAGTCCGTTATCCTTATTTGGCTGCTTTCACTTGTTCCTTTCCTCAGAATCTTGAAATCTACCATTTTATTATCATTTTCACCCAAATTGCCTTAAGATTCATAACCAATTCTTCCCTGTCAGAACCAAGTTTAAAATGGCTGCTCGATTTACTTCTGCCACCTTCTGAAATAAGTTGTCCTCAGTACATTCCAAGAACTTAGTGGAGATTTTGTGTTTTGCCATATTATTTTTCCAACAGATGTCTGGATAGTTAAAGTTCCCCATTACTGTCAGGTCTTGTGTTTTGGATACTATTTCTTTTACAAAAGCCTCATCCAGCTCCTCCAACTTATTTGATGGTGTATAGTAGACCCCTAAAATGATGTTTCCCCTGTTTCCCTTCCTTTTATCTTCACCCTGACACTTGCCATTAGTTGGTCTTTCATCTCCTTCTGGAAGACTTCACACAAGTATATATATTCCTGATGCACAATGCAACACCTCCTTCCTTTTTTTTCTACTTGTCCTTCCTGAACAAGTTATACCCCTCTATACGAATCTCAGTGATGCTAATTAAGTTATAATTGAGTTTGTGTACTCATACTTCCAGTTTTTCCAGCTTATTCCCTGTGATGTGGTGTTTACCCCACACAGGTGTAGAAAGGGTTAATCTCAGCAGGGAGCAGTGGAGGTGAGTGGCCCAGAGAGGCTGTGTGAGGTACAGCCAATCAGGGGGGATTTGAAGGGAGCAACCAATCTGGGCCCAGCAGGCCCAGATAAGAGGAGGTGCAGGACAGAGTAGCAGAGTCAGTAGCTGCCTGGAGCTTGTGGAGTCAGTATTGCCAACTTAGAAATTTTGTAATTAGATTTAGCAACTTTTTGGTTTCCATAGTGAGGAAATAAGTGTCAAAGTGACCAGTGACCTATCTAGTGACTTTCACTGCCAGTTACAGTGACATTCAGAGAAAAGTTGCCAACTTGTAAATCACAAAATCATTCACAAGCAGCTTAATAGTGTTAATAAAATCCATTCCATGCTCTTCTTACTATATTCTGTTGCACACCAAGTCAATGTTGTTATGTCTCACTTGGGCATGTCCTCAGAAGGAAGTTCATTTACTCCTGGGGGAATTTTGCACCAAAAAATTAAAAATTCTGCACACAATATTTGAAAATTCTGCGTATTTTACTTGTCAAAGTAACACGCCAGGAAATCCTCTCCCCGTCGGGGAATCGAACCCTGGGGAACTGCATAGCACACGGGGATACTCACCGCTGTACTAACGAGAAGAACTGGTGGGGAAACAGGGCCCTTTGGCTCACCCGCTGCCAAGAGCATCAACTGCGGGCTCAGCACGGCCAAAGGGGACAGCGGACAAGGGAAAGGAGGAGGCCACTGTACTGGAATGCTAAACTGTATTATTCTCTTCAGTCACTTGGTGGCACTGTGACTAAAATACCTGATTTCAACCAATCTCAGCCATACCTGGCAGAGCATAAAACCATCTTATGGTGAACACATCTGCTGTGCAGAAGACAGCTCTGTAGCCAATCCATAGATGCTCCAGAAGTAGAGGACATGGTGTCAGGAGTAAAGGGAGAAGAGGAAGAGAAGGGAAACAGCAACAAAGGTTGCCAAGACAAGGAACAAAGCTTACGGGATCTCCTCAGCATGCC